TGGTTTATGGCTCCGTCTGTGGAGCAGGAGTCAGCCTGAACAGATTTAAAATCTTCTAGGGAACAAGAGAAAACCCTAAAGAGATTAGTCCTAAACTAGAAAAAGCTGTAGCAGTCCACATAGGAAATGACTGTCAGTGTATCTGAGCCCATATGCTGCCAGGCTATCAGTTGCGCTGGACTGACTGTCCAGAAATGACAGGCTGGGAAATATGTTCCCGTGTTTCAGCAAGTTCCCAGGACTTAACATTTTAATGTTACTCTGACTCAGAATGTTCCTTCTCTGGATTCTGAGCATTTTTTTTTTTGGTCCTTTTTTTTTTTTTTTTTAGCTGGCAATTAGATGGACAGGTTTTAAACAGAACAACATGTTTTTGGCAGAAAGGACATCATAACAACCCAGGGAACTCTTAAAAGTTGGAGATCGTCGTGCTGCCGTGTGCTGTTGAACAGCTGCTGTATTTCACTCCAGAAGCGGCTGGGTTTCAGTGGCTCAGGCACTGAGGTCCCTCTATAGGTGCTTACATTTCCAACGTGTTTTCAGGGCTCCTAGAGATGAAATTGCTTTATGTAAACAGCATCATTAGTTTTCATAGCTTGTGTAGCCCTGCCTTTTTTTGTTTTTTAATGTTCTCATTTTGGCTGTGTCTTCAGGCAAAGTAGGGATGAAAGCCTTTTGGTTGTTAGTCTGGCCTTTAGGATAAAATATAGCCTGGGCCCGATCCTGCATTCCAGGCATTCCCCAAAATCTTCTTGGCTGCTCTGCAAGTTTTGAGAGTGCACAGAAAGCAGATCTGGCCTGTAATGTGCCTGGATCTATTTGCCTCTGACAGTCCCCTCTCTTCTTAAAATTACTCTGGTTACACCAAGTGACATTGCTCCTTGTCAAAAGAGATGGGTAAATAAATGTGCTGGCTATTTTCTGCTGTGGGATGTTGCTCACAGCAGTTGCTAGGAGTTTGTTGGGTTTTTTTTCCCTTCTTTTCAGCCCTTATTCAAATTAAGGTGTAGTTCTATTCCCAGTGAAATATAAGGATATTTTGATATGTGGCTTCTTATTCTCTCAGGCATTTAAAGGAAACCCTTTTAAAAAAAAAAAAAGTTCAACTTTACCAACTGCTTTTGGTGCACGAAAATGTATGCACAGAGCATGCCAGCTTTTCTTAGAAAAAAACCACGTTGCAGTCCAGATTTTCCTCACAGCACCATTATTCAGAAGTTCGAGCTGCAACAATGCAGACATAGGAGGGAGGATCAGAAACCATCTGAGGGCAAGTCCTCTTTTCTGCCCCACATTTCACAAGGCAGTCACCAGCTTTTGGTGCAAAATAGAAACAAGCTGCTTGGGTGAATTCTTACTGAAAGCCAGTACAAACTTCTCAGAAGCAGATTGTGTTTTCCGTTTCAAAACTGGGAATAGCTCAGCTCTGGGACTTCTGCTGGAGGAACTTTCTGTCAACACAGAGATTTAAAAAAAAAAAAAGTCCTGTGTGTTAGCAATAGTTCAGCTCTTCTGACTCTTCACTTTTACTATAAGAAATGATTATAGGCTAAGGTCACAAAACAGAGCCACTAACCTCTGTTTGAACTTCCTCGTGTTCGGCGCATGTGGGTATTTCATTATCAGTTCAGAGGCATAGCTGACTGACAGGCCATGCATACCAGGAAAATGTGCAATCTTACTTTTAAGTCTTTCTTTCAACCTGCCCCTACTTCCTCCATGTGTGTATGAAGGAGGAAGCTGTATCTTTAAGAAATATGGTTTTTCCCCCTCCTCGTTTCCTGTGAAATATTAATAGATGCTGCCAATGGGATGGAGCTCTTTAAGGGTGTTGTGTAAAACATCTTGCTCTGTGTTCACTGCAGCGCTGAGCACATAGACGCCTTTTGATTTTTCTCCAGAGAAAGCAAAGACAGGGTAAATTCTGGAGATCAGGCAGCAAGGATGCTCTGCAAGAGCAGTAACAACCATCCCCTTCCCTGCACAAAACTGGGAGCTATTGACTATTCATGGCAAAGCGTCCAAAGCGCAGCGGCAGAGCCTGTGGAAAATGACAGCGTGTAACAAGATTGACTGGCATTTCCTTCACGCTGGGTCACATGCCTCCTAATTCACACACACACAAAACCTCATAGGCTGATCAAATGACTTCTATCTCTGCAGTCCACATACCTTCCACAGAAAGAGTTGTTTTATTATGCACATGTACAGCTCTGTTTTCAATCAGTCACCTTGAGCGAATGATTGAGGGCCAGCGTTCGCTCCGTCCGGAGGTCTCTGCGTTTGCTCTCTAAGAGGCATAGTCTCTGTCCGTAAGCAATTTATTTTTTTCGTCTGGGCAGGGGGGAACCCAAATACGCAGATGCCCCTCCTGCCTTCCCCTCCCCAGAAACCTTTCTAGGAAGTTTGCTTTGCTTAACTGGAAAAGTGCAGGACGGTCACCACTGTTGGCAAGCGTTGCGGTGCGCTGCGCTAGGAAGGATGGATTTTGCCCTTGTGCCTCCGTGGGGTTGCAGCAGGGTTATGGCTCACGTGAGTAGGGGCTTGCAGGATGCTGCCCGCTTGCCGCCTTGACATGGGAGGGGAGACTGGGAGCGTGGCTGCCCACCATGGGTCATGGCGGATTGGGATGCCGGGGGTCCATATGAGCCCTCCCAGTTTACCAACTGGCACGAGGTTCAGACCACCTCGACCTCCGTACGCAGAGAGAGAGGAGTATGGAGTGCTGAGGTGAAACCAGCCACCAGCTGGCTTGCCAGGACATGGTAATTAGCTCAGTGCAGTGCCAGCCTTATTAAGGGCAGTGCAGGTGATGATGACGTTGGCACACTGATTCATTACATCTGGAGGGGAAAATCCGCCTAGTAAATGCTGAAGCACAGTAAATATTTTTGGCTCCTGACAGATTGATCCTTGCATTATGCTGATTAGCCTATATTTGTGGAACTGAGGAAGTTAAAAATAAGGTTGGTGGAAGCTACAAGATAAGGAAAGGATTTGCATTTTATGGCCACTAGCAATAAACTTCTTTTTCTATTTGGTTTTTTGGGTGGTAAAAATTTCAACACTTTATTTTTTCTCCCCATTCCCTTCTTTGGCTCCAGGTTTCACTGCTAAGTGAAAGCCCATAATTTATTTTCTCTTGCCAGTAATATTCTGGAAGGGAGCTGTAAATCTAGAGTGCACACAGTTGGGAAATGATTTCTGAAAGAATTCTTTTGCAAATACGTGGTGCAATCCTGCAAAATGCTTTGGCCCTGACAGTCCTTAGGGGGTAGTACAGACATATCAAAGCATGTAGCAGCATGTGTACTCAGTGAGACTGGATGCTTTGGACTTTCCTGTAAGCTAGAGGGCTTTACAAGCTTTAGTTCATGGAGATAAACGATTAAACCAACTTCTGACTGTTGCTGTTTTGTTTTCCTACACTCAGGCTCTCACCTGAACTTTTGCCGCCTGGTATATGCTGTTGGGATATCCATAAGAGATCGCCCAGGAATGGTGGATCACTTGCTGCCTACTGATGAATCCTTTTCATCTACAAGATCTTCTCTTGGATACTTTGGGGACATGACAGCAGGGGTGAGGTCCTACCAAATGCTGCCCTCTCCCCTGTCAGAAGATGATAGCGACTCGTCCAGCTTTTGTTCTTGTTCCAGCCCTGACTCCCAGGTTCTCAGCTCCAGCTATGGAAGCACGTCCAGTGCGGAAAGTCAGGACAGTATCTTAGACTACTTATTGTCCCAGGCATCTTTGGGGAACACCGCTGCATCATGGTGGGACAAAAGGAGACTTCAGCCGATAGTGAAAGAGGAGTACTTTAGGTTGCCTGAATTTGCTGTGGATATGGAAGACTCAGGACCATTTCAGCCCACGCTTGAGGAAATTGAGGAATTTCTGGAGGAGAACATGGAGCTGGAGCTCAAAGAAAGACCTAAAAGTGAGACCAAGGACTTGAGAGCTTGCAGTCAAGTTTCTGTTGCTTCGCTACAGCAAAAAGACCATATGTTACCCAGCACTAGTTTAAAAGAGAGTAAAAATGAACAGTTGAGCAGCTCAACGGAAGGTGGCCAAGCTTCAAATGGAGGAATGTCCTTGGAGAATGGGATACCGGTTATGCTCCAAATTCAGCCTGTACAGATCAAACAGGAGTCCAACACGAGCCCCAGTTCCCAAGGACCAGCACAAGAGAACATTAAAATTGCACAGCTCCTAGTCAACATCCAAGGACAGACATTTGCCCTTGTGCCTCAGATAGTTCAGTCATCCAATTTGAACTTGTCCTCTAAATTTGTCCGCATTGCTCCCGTCCCCATCGCCGCCAAGCCAATTGGGCCAGGAGGCATGATCCAGGGTCAGACTGGAATCATCATGGGTCAGAAATTTCAAAAGAACCCTGCAGCAGAACTCATTAAAATGCACAAATGTTCTTTTCCTGGTTGTACCAAGATGTACACGAAAAGCAGCCATTTGAAAGCCCACCTGAGGAGGCATACAGGAGAAAAGCCTTTTGCATGCACGTGGCCGGGTTGTGGATGGAGGTTAGTATTGGAGGTGCAGCACTGTCCTATCCCCCTTCCCCTTTTTGCTCACTTGACCTGACTTGCCGAGCAAGTAGGTTTGCACTCTGATTTATAAATGGGTTTTGTTCCCAAAACTTGTTCGGTTGGTTTGAGAATTAAGACCTTTTTCTTCCTGTTAGGTGATCCAGGGGCTTTGATAAACTAAATAGCAGAGCATCACCTGCTGGCACCAGCTGTTTAAGTGTCTTAAAAAAATAAAAGTAGTCCGTCGTAATTTGTATTTCATTCCAAGAGGGGGTCAGATAAGCTCGTTACTGCAGGCAATACCTTGCGTTCACATTGGTCTGGTTGCAACACACCAGCTGCTCAGCTGGTACCAGCTGAGGGCTGTAAGTGAACTGAATGGTTTAGGACAGAATCACTGTGCGTGGCTGTGTGTGGCTCCGACTGCATGGGGCTAAACGGGATCACTGAAGGGCTGTGATAAGCAAGTGTGGTTAAGAGCAGTATTCTGTGCAGTTGTGTAGAAAATGCATTCCATCCCACTCTTTCTGGAAGTGCTGGCAGTGACACTCTGGCATGCTCTGCATTTTATTCTCTGTGTTGATTCAGAAAAATGCGTGGGTGCCACTCAAAGTTGCAAAAAGCTGTCAGATGTAACAACATAACCAGAAGGCTGAGGTGGAGTTAAGCATTGCTTGAATGAAAGATTGCGGCTTTGATTGAGCAAAATGTTTTGCAGAGGGTATCTCTTGAATTTTTTTTTTTTTAATTTTTAATACTAGTTGAAACACTAAAACTTTGTTAAAAAAATTAACTTCTTATTTTAAGAAACTTTGATGGAAGCCTTCCTCCCTCTTTCCAATTAGCTATATTACTAGCCTGCCTGCTGGCAAGTGTTAATATACAGCACCACAAATAATGATAGGAGAAAACAAAATCTTAACTCCCTTGTATTAAATTAAACAGGATTTCTTTCAAAGAATATCCTGCACAGCTTCAGCGAGCAATGTCTAATGAGGAAATGGGTTGTGATCATGGGGAACAGACGAGGTAAAAAGTAACAGGAGAGGGTTGTGTAAAAATGCAACTATGTGAGACACGCAGCAGTTAGAGATGGCTGGATTGGTTTGAGGGAAAAGGTCAGAATGGGGCTGAATCCTCTGCTCCCCAACTGGACCAGTTTGAAGTTTGCCTCTCGGAAGGACTGAGGAGATCAATGCAATTAATTTCTTTGGTGATTTTCTTTCCCGTTTCAGTTTATGGTGGCTCTACAAATTGGTGGTGATTTTCTTTCCTTTTGTACTGGTGGCACTCTTCATGAACCAGGCTCGGTGGCTTGCTGCTCAGGATGCACTGAAATTGAAGCCATGTTATTCAGCTGATTGGTCCCATAAGCTACGGGCTGGTTTGCTCCTGACCTGCAGTAGAGGCACTCGCTCCTTCTTACTTGGTTGCCAGAGTACGTGCGCGCAGGCAGCAGATGTACCTCCTGCCTGTGAACGTGCCTGTGGGTGTCATGTTGGCTCTCCTTGCGCTGGGATGTGAGCAAAACTCTCATTTTTGCGACAAATGCATGCGGCACGTGAGGGTTTGTCTGATCCACGACAAGATTTATACCAACGCTCCCAGTGACTTTCGTGGCTCAACATCAGGAGCCTGAAGTGTTGCCTGTAGGTGACCTTTTCCAGCTCTGTCTTACTACAGAGCTGGTGTTTCCTGGGCTGCAAAACCAAGGGGAACATTTAGGAAAAATATTAAGTGGTAAGGGATGGAGATTGAATTTACACTGGGGTGCCTGCCTTCTCCCAGCGTTACAGTGAAAGGTGTGGATCAAAAGCAGGATGCAGGTGTAAGGTGGGCCAAGAGAAGTGCAGGTCCTGCAATGGGAGCGCCCTGAACTTTCACTCTCAGCCAGCCACAACTTTTTAAAGATGAGGAGCCCAACAGGGATGAGAAATGAATCACCTTAGCTACAAGGAATGTGTGTCTTGTCCATGAACAGCTGCTGAAAGGGCTTTTCAAACTCCCTGTTGCTCTTTGTCTTGTTGCATTTCACAGCCCATGCTGGTACCCCTATCCCCAACAACCCCAACTTTGGAAGGGCTCTGCTCAGAGCGGGGAGGCTTATAGCCAGCAGGAGAGGCAGCACTTGGGGAGCTGCTTCCTGTGCTCACAGCAATCCTTAGCACCCGCCTGAGATTCCTGCGCATCCCCTACCCGCTGCTCCCACATCAATTGAGCACTGAATTGCTCAGTCCCCTTTCATCAATAAAGCATGTTTACCTTTTCCAGAAGTTCAATGAGAGCTGTGATCTCACATGACTTAAGTCAAATGCATCTGGACTCTCTGTTTGCTCCCAGTTTTATATCATCTCAAATGAATTTAAGCACTAAAACACTGCTGGGCTCTGCTTTCCCCCTCCTTTCCCTGCATTCTTGTGCTTGTGTATTTATTTTTTCACCAAAGACACTTAAGATCTGACCTCACTGAAGATAGCAATTTCAAAAACAAAACAAAGTGTTGCCTAGCACAAAGTAGCTGAGCTGGGGGGGGGAGGAGGGGTTAAAGCTTTCCCAGCTTTTTGGGCAGCCCTGCCAGGGTGAAGTTGCATGCTTAAACGCCCCGAGGTAGGGGTGTGCACACAGCAACCCCTTTTGCTAACCCCTAGGACAGTGGGAGAGCCCCAAGCACCTCCCTGGAGGAGGCTGAACCCTGCTTGCTTCCTTGGCACAGGGCAAGAGCTGTTTTCGGCAGGCTGCAGAGAGGCGTTCGTAAGTGGCCGGTGACCCGTTGCGTTCGATACCCCGCTGTACTGGTCGGCGCACTGATCCGTGCCATGCCAGTTTATACCTTTGGCACATGGCAGCCTCTGGTTAGTGCTGCTCCTCAGACAGCCCTGACCAAAAAGCTACGCTGCAGCGTGGGCCAGTCCCCAGCAGCCGTGTTATGGCGTGGAGCAGGAGAAGCTCTCGCTTTCTCTCCGCTGGCGCAGCAGCGTACAAAGCTGCCGTTGTTGTAAGGCCTGGGGGATTAGGCAATGGCGTTTAAATGCCCTGCCACATCGGCGGGCTGGAGGCGCTTCCCTGCAGCCGGCTCCGCAGGTGACAGCATGCAGTACAAGCTTTGCCTGGTTTGGTAGGGAGGGTTTAAAGGTGTGTAATGCGTGTGGCCGGGAGCGTGTATGGGAGCGGGTGAGCATGGGGAGGACCACATGTAGGACAGGTCAGGACAGGCGTCTCTCATTGGACTTTTTTGCTGGTGCCACACAAAGCGGTTTGCAGGTGCGCAGGAGGTGTGCTGGCTTACCGTAGCGGTGCTTTGGGGATGGGCAGGATGAATCTAGAGATTCCCCTCTTCTGTGGAGGAGACGCACAGCCTGAGTCAGTCCCAATGGCTGGTGGCCATGGTAGGGACCGTGGAGGCTGAAGCTGTTGACCTTTCTTGCTCTTGGAGCCGCATAGCAATGTATGGCCAGGAGACACAGGACATGTCCTACACATCAGGGAGCTCTAGGATTTGTCTTCAAGGGAGATGTAGTTACAGGTCCTTTGGGGTTCCACCAGATAGAAGGATGAAGGAAACTCTTCTAGTTGCTGTGGGATTGCCCAGATCCCCCCACCTTTCTTTTGAAGGAGGAATTCTTCTGGAAATGGAGATGACTTGGAATAGTGAGGTGTTCCTTGGGGGTACCTTTTTTTCTAGTTGGTTTTGGCATTCAACTGGGGATTATTTGCAGTTTTCTTGGGGTGATCTTGGTGCCAGAACATGCTGCAAATATCATTTCACTGCAGAGCCAGGCCACCAGATCCTCCCAGCTTCCTTGTCCTAACCTTTGCGTTGTTTTTTTGTAAACACACCGACAGCTTGAGGTTTATTTCTGTGGGCTCGGTAAGTTGATCTTTCCGTGACTGCTGGGGAACAGTATTGCAACATTCCTGCCTCTTCAGCTAAGGACATCATTATGAGGCAGAGTGTATTTTTATCGGATGAACTCATCCAAGCTCCCAGGGTATGAGCGGAGCTGCTCATTCCTGACATGCACCTCTTTTTCCCTCACCATCCATGCAATTCCCATCAAAATGCACTTGCAGAGCTCTTGTGCAGGATTAGCCATGTGCTACTGCACTTCTGCTGCAGATGGTCACCTTAATGGCCAGGGACATGGGACAAGGCAACCCAGCCACATCTGGTTTTACTCCTTTGGGTGATAAGCCTGTATATAAGAGGACGGGTCTTTGCAAAGGCGCTTTTCCCTCTCAGCTCCCTGTTCTCCCTGGACGTGGTTGCCACCACTGGCAACAGGTCCATTCCTTGTGCAGCACTGAGTCCCGCTGAGGCAGTCTGCATAGGCAACATCCTGCCCTGTCCGGAAAGATGCTTAGTCCCGGTCATTCATAGCTCTACAAGAGCATCCCTCCAGGGATGCGGCACTGGGACTAGCTCACTGCTAAGGACTCGGGAGAAATCCCTGGCCCTGCTGCTCCCAGGTCCAGACTGTGGTTTTGGGAAGCCATGGCTGGAAAGAGCAGGGGTGCTAGAGAAAGCAAACGTGCAAGTACTAGGGGTGAAGAGAAACCTCTGTTGTAGCCTTTATGAAGAAGATGCGTCCCAAACAAGGCACAGGTTCATGGCTCCATTAGGGCATCTGTCTTTTGCTCTTAATGGTGAATTCAACTCTTTCACCGTGAGGATACCAAAGCAAGGAGAGGGAGAAAAGGAAGGTGAAGGAATCTCCCTTAGAAATGACACTGGGAGAGATGTGGCCACACCATACCTCACCCACAGCAAGTGTCTGTGTCTGCTTTGTGCTGGGCTGAACACTCTCTGGATAGCATCACTGGACTGAAGAGCTGCGGGAACTAAAGAAACCATTCCCAGCTTTCCCAGTACCTGCACCTGGTTCCTCAACTGGCGGTGGGAGATCAGAGCTAATTAAAACCTTTATGTGGAACCTTATTTTTCTTCCATGAAGGACTTATTCATAGCAGCCCAGCAGTCCTGTTTTCCCCCTTTCATAAAAATAGCATATTCACTCTGTTGGTGATGTGATATTTTGCTCCAGAAGGGCACATCTTTCTACATGTTCTTTCCCCCATTTATTCAGCTAGTGCCCATGACTTCATTTATTTATTGTAAATAAACAGCTGATACCATTTCTTGCAATCTCTCTTTCTGTGCTGCTCTTTGTTACTGCTCTGGCAACAAAACACTTAAGTGCCCTTTGTCAGGCAGCAAATTTTTTGTACCCATCTGGACAGGGCTGTTTTAGTGTGACATTATTAATTAACCCTGTGGCTCCCAGTCATGTCCAAGATGGAAGTAGAGCCAGCTCTGCTGTTAAGACCAAAGGATTAGCTGATTTGAGTTCAGTAAAGCCTGCGGGATTCACAGTGGCTATTTGGGGATTTTTCTGTGGAGATGGAAGGTGGGAAATCCCTAAAATTAAAATGACTCTGGGAGACAATTTTGGTAATTAAAGGTTCTGTCTTGATTTCAATTTTCCCATGAAGTAACTGCTAATGGCCATTGGGGCCCACCTGGATTTTAGCTGTTACGATGTTGAGCATCTCTGATACTGAGATGTTAATGACTCTTTATTTAGCCTGCAGGAGCATGTGCAAAAGCCAATTTTTCAGCTGGATCTGATAAGCCATGTAGCTTCTGGGTAGCTGTGTCTGGCTGTCATCTGGGGTCCATCTCAAACTAGGTGCAATTACTGGATGTCCATTGTGCTCGTGTCAGTGGGAGCTTGGAGCAGACCTCACCTGCGGGATGTTGGTTGCTATCTCTGCTTGAGAAGGGTCCGTGCTTGGATTTGCAGGAGGGAGGTTGTGGGACAGGCTGTGGGACAGGCTTGGAAGGGGACTGGCAGAGGGATTAAGAGCAGCGCTGTTTTTCTTGAGCTGTACCCATGTTATTTGGTTTAGGGCAAGGCTGGTACAAATGTTGCCTCCATGCATTGCTCTGAGTCCAGAGTTGACATGGGATGAGGTTGATAATTGCATGTTTCCATCACTGCTGCCGACTGCTGGTTGGGACCAGACCAGCCCTGTTGTGTGTCCCTTTCAGTTCGCGTGTTCGGGCTTTGCTGCAAGCAGAGTCTCCCAGTGGCCTGAGGGGACCTTTTTTCCCCGCTGTGAGATACTTAGCAATGTAAAAAACCATTTATATGAAAAGGCTTCTCTTCTCTTGCAGGTTCTCCAGGTCAGATGAGCTATCCCGGCACAGGCGTTCCCACTCGGGGGTGAAACCCTATCAGTGTCCCGTCTGCGAGAAGAAGTTTGCTCGAAGTGACCACTTGTCCAAACACGTCAAGGTGCATCGGTTCCCACGAAGCAACCGCTCCGTCCGCTCTGTGAACTGATTGGTCCTGCTTTCCCCTTCCCTCCCAGCCATACTACAACAGCTGATGACAGCACTTTGCTCACTATATTTCTAGTGATAATTTATTTGTCTCCACAGAACAGTCAACGCTGTTACTTGATACCACCATGTCTGAGTGTCCCGTGTCCTTTAAAGATGATTTGAAAATGAAGTTCTTTTTGGGTCGGGGAGGGGGGTGCTTCTTCCTTTTTGTCTTTTTTTTTTTTTTTTTTTAAGGATGTTATTTTCCTTTCCTTCTATCTTTCCCTCCTTTGCTGCTGCTTCTTTTGGAAATTACAGTGTTTTATTTTTAGCTGTTTTCTGCTGCACAGGAAAATGTAAGAGTTGCTTGCTGCTAGTTAATTATAGCCCTGGCAT